ACCAGATCCCGGGAAAATTATTGGCGAAGGTCGGAAAAAAACAGTACATTATTAATAATCTTTTTTTCTCATATATTATGTATAAGACTATGAGTTTATCGTTTGAATTTGGATTCATCTATGATAACTATGCTGTCGAACGTTAAATCGCAGTTACCAATATTTTTATCAAACTTAAATTTTTTACAATGTGCCATGTATAATAACCTGCTCAATTTTTTTGAACGATTCTATAATATAAACACAATTAATATAATTAGATTATTAATAATTTTTGTGTATAACAGGAATGTATTTATGAGAGTTATGAGACCCCTTGAACCAGCGCTATCAATATTTTTTAGGCAACTTCTAATAAATAAGTGTATAATAATGTATAATTACTATTTAAGATATAAATATATTCATAGGAAATGACTATGAAAAGGAGAAGAAATAGTTTAAAAAAACTAAAAAACACGCTTTTAAAGCAAATCGAACTAAAAAGTTAAAAATAATTTTTAAAATAAGCGTAAAACAATAATGAACGAAAAGTACTAGTATTATTGTGATAAAAGCGTGGGTGNGGAGTGACGGCCCACCACCGGCCATAGTTGTGCCTACGCCATAATCATCATCATCATCACCATCTCGACGTTTTGTTTAAATAAAAAAACGGAGGACAAAAAAAATACAGTCTGGTTGACACCACAAGTCGACTGCAGATCAACTCGACGTTTTATTTAAAAAAAACGGAGGACAAAAACACAACGACATCACTTGGTGGACAGCAGATCCATTCGACGTTTAATTTTGATAAAAAAAAACGGAGGACAAAAAAAAATACAATAACGTGGTTTTCACAAAAAATACAAACGGACAACTTGTCGCCTCGGCAGTATAGGTGGAATAAATATAGTTTAAAAAACTAAAAAAACACGCTTTTAAACTATATTTATTTTTTACTTTTTAATTTCATGTTATGATAGTAGTTACTATCAATATCATAGTTGTTACGGGTAACGGGAAATCAGGGTTCGATTCCGGGGAGGGAGTCTGAGAAACGGCTACCACATCCAAAGAAAGCAGCAGGCGCGTAAATTACTCACTCCCGGAACGTGGAGGTAGTGACGAAAA